CAACACACAGTAGAAACGCTCTAAATGTTTGCTACATGGCAGGAACCCTCGTGCACTGTTGGTGGGAATGCAAATTCATGCAGCCACTATGGGAAAACAGTATGAGGCTTGCTCAAAAAATTAAAAGGAACTGCCTTATTACCTAGTGATCCCACTTCTGGGTAAATATCCAAAACACTAATTTGAAAGAATATATGTACCCCTATGCGCATATATTTGGCTTTATTTACAATAGCCAAGATATGAGAGCAACCCAAGTGCCCATCAATAGATGACTGGGTAAAAAAGTGGTGGGACATATATACAATAGAATATCACTCAGCAGTAAAAAATGAAATCTTACCATTTGCAACAGCATGAAGGGACCTAGAGGGTATTATGCTAAGTGAAATAAATCAGACAGAGAAAGACAAATACCACATGATTTCACTTATATGTGGAATCTAAAGAGCAAAACAAACAAGCAAACAAAACAGAAACGAACTCATAGATACAAAAACAGGCTGATGGCTGCCAGTGGGAAGGGGGTTGGGGGACTGGATGAAAAAGGTGAAGGGATTAAGAAGTACAATAGTCACAGGGATATAAAGTACAACATAGGGAATAGAGCCAGTAATACTATAATTATACTAGAGGCCTGGCGCACGAATCCGTGTGCCAGTAGCTCGCTGCTGCCCTCCAGTAGCTCTCCGCCTGCTGCCCTGCCTTCCTGTAGCTCCCTCCACCCCCCATCATAGCTTGCTGCCCTGCCCCCTCCTGTAGCTCTCCACCGCCTGCTTGTAGCTCGCTGCCCCACCCTCCTGCTGATCCGTGATCCGGTTGTTACACAGTCGATCGTTATGTAATGACCATTTGCATATTACATCTTTATTATATAGGATATGGTGTTAGACGGGTACTGGAAATATGGGGTGGGGGGAACACTTTGCAAAGTATATGATTGTCTAACCACTCTGCTGTACACCTGAAACTAAAACAAAATAATATTGAATCAACTGTAATTGAAAAATAAAATTAAAAAATAATAAAAATGAATACTTGCTGCATGAGTGAATAGGTGAGAACAGAAGTAAGTGTAATACAGAAAAAAAGGGGGGTTGATTCTGGGAAGGAGGCAGATTGCTAAAGAAGGAAGGTCACAAACTTTGGAGTCAGACAGAGGCAAATTCAAGTCCTGGCTCTTCTCTTAGCATCCCTGGGCCTCATTCCTCATCTGCAATAGGGGGTGGAAATAAACTAAGAATAATCACCTCATGGAGTCACTGCAAGGCTTAAAGAATGTATGGAAGGCCCTTTGTGAACTGCGGTGGTAAATAGATTTTGGCTACTGGTCTACATCCTCCTACTTCATTCAATGCTGGGGGTCAGCAAGGCTACCCACCCTGATGGTGTCAGGACCAGAAACAATGTTGCCTTCAAATTGTGCATCTCCACGTGTGGGGGAAAGACTGTTCTTTCTGAATAAAGTTGCCATGTTTCATTCTAAAACTTGGTTTCAGTGGAGTGTGAGTGTGTGTGTGTGCATCTAGTTCACAGGGAGCTCTGGCAACATCAGGTCTCTGTGTGTATATAGTTGTGTATACAGTTTGCAAAGTGCTTTTAGAATTTTCTCCCCAAGGCAAAAGATAAACTCATTTATTTTAAAATCATCAGCTGGATTGCATTAAATGGAGGTAAAAGCAAAAATGTACACCATCTAGCCATTTGTTAAATTAAACACACTTATTTCTCCTGTTACTTAATTACAAACAGACATAAATACTCTGGATTCTGACATCTCAGATCTTCTTAAATTCTAGTCTGCGTTTCAACATGTAACGAAGGGAGGGTCATATTCCAATTTGTGTGTTAAGCAAACCTGAGAGTTACAATTGTAGAGTGGGACCATAATGACTTCACTAAAACAAGACCTAAACTTTTAATTAACCTGCCAAGACAAATTACAAGTCATAACTCACCGGCAACCACCACAGACAGCTGAGACTCAATGCCAGGCCCTCTGGGGGAGAAAGGGATTAATAGCAACATCACCATTGGTCTGTTTTTGCGTTAAAAGAAAAAAGGTATTCATTAAACAATCCCCGTCGCGTGAGGGAAGACAGACAAGTCAGAAAGGCAGCAAGAGAAAGGAGGACGGAGGAGGAGACAGACGGGAGAGAATATTAACAACTTCCATGTAACTGAGTGCTCACCGCACCCAAAGCCCGCGCTAGGCTCTTGATAACTGCTCTCTATAATCTTTCCAGTGGAGATGGCAAAGTAACTTCCAAAAAAGAAAAACGAGGCTTAGAGAGGGAGGTGACTGCCTATGGCCACAGGACGGTCGTGAGGCAGGAAGGACAGGAAGGCTGGAAGACCGCACTCATAAGGCATCTGCTTTCAGGGCTCAGCTGACAGACCATCAGCATCACCTGGGCTCTGACTCCGCCCTACTAGGTCATCATTCACGCGGAAAAGGCCTGGGAGACCGAATTTGGACCTAGCTTCCCGGGTGATTCCTTCGTACAGCAATGTTTGAGACCACACATAAGATACTAGAACCTCTTGCTACTCAAAATGTGGTCCACAGACGAGCAGCTCAGGTGTCACCAGGCGCTGGTTAGAAATGCAGAATCCGGGGACCCACCAAGATCTGTGGAAGCAGAATCGGCATTGGAAGGAGACACCAGGTGGTTCCTAACACTCTGAGGAGCACAGGAGAGCCCATGGCTCTGAAAGACAGCAGAGGGTGAAGGGAGGTGAAGACAGATTTCATCGTTTAGGTGAGAACAGGAGAGCCAGAGGGAAAGGCAACACCATGTCCTTAATATGACAAAGCCAGTTAGCAAGCTCCGACACGCCAAGAGCTGGCAAGGGCACCTGGCTGGACCTACCTTATATTTCTCTAAGAGGCACATCCTAATTACAAGTCACTTTCTTTGGGGGTTTGTATTAATATTTTTTCATATTTATGCTGTTGTTACAAATGCAGAATTCTGATTGCATGAGGCCTTAGCTCTGAGCGAGCACGGAACTCTATGCTGGCTGGTGAACGATGCCTTCGAGGAATCAGGCTGCGAGGCCATGAAGCTGGCCCTCAGGCTCCACTCATGACTTGAGAATCCCGCCCCTCAGTTGAGGCTGCCGTGTCCAGAGAGAAAACAGGAACAAGGTCTGGAGTCTGGCAAACCCGCAGTGACAGCCTAACTGAGGGCGAGGACCAGCCCGGGCTCTCCAGTGACAGAGCGCAATCCCATGTTAGCATCTGGTCACAGTAACCCCTGAGCACAGCCTCACAGCCCAGGGTCTCGGGGAACCAAGAGCTGGAAACATAAGTAACGTGTGCAGGGTCGGATCACAGGTGAATGGTGGAGATTCAGAACTTTGCCTCTCCCTCAAAAGGCAGCACACAGGGAGAAAGCCACAGCACGGCACCCGCCAGGCCTGGCCTGCGGCTGCAGTCCGTCCTGCCAACAGCTGGCCGAACAGAGGAAAGGCCGCGTTCACACTCATCCTGAGGGACTGAGTGACGCCGGGTGTCGGGGTCTGGCTGGGTGTTGGGGGGCAGAGAAGATGATGTCAGAGTCCCTGTCCTTCAGACACTCGGAGACCAGCAGCTGGGACAGACCCTTCCGAACAAGGACAGCCAAGTGGCATTCCCACATCAGAGCCGAGGTGTCCGATGGCCCCGCCCCTGGCACTTAGCCAGGCTGGACTGTTGGGACCACAGCTATGCAGAGGCTGATAAATCAAGCCCACATTTAACGGAGAGATATTCTCGGCCTCAACTCTAAGGGCAAGACTGTGAATGAGAGCGAGGTGACTGGGAAATGACTACTGCTGCTCAGAACAGAGAACCAGGGTCTTGCAAGAGTGTTAGAAACCAAGGACCAGGTTCAGAGGTTTTATTCAACTCCTTTTTCCCCATCAGGGACTCCCCCCGAGGACTGAGACAGTTCTGAGGTGGACTCCCAGCCACACAGACCCTGCATTAAGCAGAAGCCTCCTTCCCAAGGGGTCTGGTTAGTGAGGTTTTGTCTTTCCTGAAGTTTTATTTTCTCGTAGGAAATGTTTATCTCCAGCCTATGGCACAGCCCTTCCTACATAGACTCAGAAAAATTGGTTTCTGCCTGAACCACTGACCACTGGGTCCTGCAGCACACTGTGGCAATGGGAGGAGGGGACACGTTCTACAGAATGTGAGGGTCAAGAGGAGACATTCCTTACAAGGATGCCAGGCTTCCAGATGGCCACAGGCCTGGGAGGGGCCTCGGCTCACTCAGAACTGGGAGCTGTGCCCCCTCCCACTGTGAGGGATGGACGGCGGTGAAGGTGTTAGCACTCGTTTAAAACACCAGGGCTCACTCTGCTGGAGAACAGAACATCTCTGTTCCCAACAAAACCCCAACCTGACTGATGACATTGGTCATCCAGCCCTTTGCACCGTCCTTCTCTGTCTGTCTGTCTGTCTGTCTCTCTCTCTCTCTCTGCCTTTGCTGTGTTTTCTCATCTGCCGGGGGTTGGTGGATCCCAAAGCAAAACAGACAAAAAACAAACAAAAGCTACCATAAAAACCCAAATAACAAATCAGTGAGTTGCACCAAGGGAGACAATAAAAAAAATGAAGGCGTTAGAGAAGTTTCAAGAAGAGAAATGTTGCCTCCGTGTGGAAGGTCATCCAGGGTTCCCATGTCACTGTCAGTCCCCCTCCCACCCATGACTTTAAATATAGCTGCTGGTCCACACACCATGCCACAGACCACACAAGGAAGGCAGTGGGCAACAGCCTGGGCTCAGGGCCCAGCCCAGAGTGGCCTTCCAGCCCCTCCTGGCACCCCCTTCCCTCATCTCCCTACGTCTCACTGTCCACAGGTCAGATGGCCTGATGCCAGAGGGCAGGTGGCATCTGCAGCTCTGGGCGGGACACATCCCCCCCGTCAGCCTTAGCTCCCAGCATCCTGAGCATCTTCTCACGCAAAGAGACAACACCCCACAGACCCCAGAGGGTGGTGGTTCCTTACCAATGGCAGTGGTGAGAAATGAAACCACTTCCGACTCCTTCCCATCATTGTAAAAAGCCAGGTGCCAGATGCCTGAATCCAAGTACTGGATGAAGCCGGTCTCGTGGCTGGAGGGAGGGACGGCTCCCCGGGACTGGCGCTGGGGCCCCTCCAGGCTCCGTGCCTCCTGGGTCAGGAGCCTCCTTCCATCCAGCAGCTCCACAAAGTCAAACTGAAGTACAGAGAGAGCATGGTTAGTAGCAGATCTGCTTTGCCACAGTGCTGGCTTCTTTCTTCAGGCTTCTCCTGTGGAGAACCCAGGGAACACACCTGAGGCAGGCAAGAGAGGCTAAAGCCACGTGAAGCTTGATGGACCACCCGCAAGTCCTCCCCAGACCCCATTTTCTCAGGGCAATCGTCTGCTTATTCTCTTGTGGGTGCAGCACAATTAGTGGGTTCTTTTCCGGCCTCATTGTGCTTTAATGTTGGTGTACGTGTGGTAAGTCTTCCTCTGGCTGAGTCTGGCTCAGGACAACCAAGCTTTTTTCAATGGTGGGCATGTGATCAGACCCTGCCACTTAACAAGTGAACTCCCAACTCCGTGGAACCCCAAGGGGTCCAGGGTTGGGACTGGAGCCCTGGATGTGCCTTAAATGTCAGTCAAGTGCAAATGAAAGTTCATTTATATCTATCTTCTTTTTGTCAATGATCCTGTCTAAGCGCTTCAGTTTCAGGGAGCAGTTTTAACTGGATTAGCTCAAAACTCTATCAATAATTACATGCTCTGTCAAACACAATTGCCAATCGATCCGAGCCTGCTAGTATGAGACTCAAGAGAAGTCAGACACATGGTGTTAACAACAGGAAGATGGTTAAGTCCTACAGGCCTACTAGCAAGCAAATTGAGCTTTCTGTCTTTCTTTTTTTCCTTCTTTCTTTCTCTATATATCTATTTTTCTTTCTTTGTTAAAAAATTCTTTATTGTTTAAAGTATTACATATGTCTCCTTTTCCCCCTATTGACCTCTCCTGGGCTGTTCCCACCCCCCCAGCACATGCCCTCACCCGCTACTGTCTGTGTCCATGGGTTATGTTTATATGCATGCATACAAGTCCTTTGGTTGATCTTTTACCCTCCCCCTTCCCCTGCTTTCCCTCTGAGGTTGGTCAGTCTGTTCAATGCTTCTATGTCTCTGGATCTATTTTGTTCATTCGTTTATGTTGTTCATTATGTTCCACAAATGAGTGAGATCATGTGATATTTATCTTTCTCTGGCTTATTTCGCTTAGTATAATGTTCTCCAGGTCCATATTTTTTTTAAAAAAAACCAAGATATTTATTCTATCTCATAAAAAATGTCTGAAGGCATGAATCTAGGGCAGTGATGGCAAACCTATGACACGCGTGTCAGAGGTGACATGCGAACTCATTTTTTTGGTTGATTTTTCTTTGTTAAATGGCATTTAAATATATAAAATAAATATAAAAAATATAAGTCTTTGTTTTACTATGGTTGCAAATATCAAAAAATTTCTATATGTGACACGGCACCAGAGTTAAGTTAGGGTTTTTCAAAATGCTGACACGCCGAGCTCAAAAGGTTCGCCATCACTGATCTAGGGCTAGCATCTCAGTTCTACAAAGAAATCAGGGGCCATGCTCTCTCTATTTTCCTGTGACTCCATCCTTAGCAAATGTATCTATCTAGCTGTTACCTAAAAACCTTAATGACTGGTGCTAGGAGACTGCATTTGGCCTGGGGATGTCTGCTGGATGCCTATAGATATATGATACTCTAATCCCAGAGCTGGGAGGGCCTTACAAGTCTGTTCTTTACCCATAGTGACTGGTAATATGTCAATCATCTGGGCTGAGTTTATGAAGTGTTTTGGGCATGCATATGTCTGAGTAAATGTGAAACTCTGAAGGAGAGAAAGAATGCCCGAGACTTGGGAAATAACATATACTCAGATCCAGGCCCTGCACTAGCTGCCTTATAAATGCTATTCCTTATTCTTCAGAACAGCCCTGCAGTGTAGGTCTTGTTTTCACCACTTGACAGATTAGGAAATTGCTCTGAGAGGATAACAGGCTCCAGGTTTCACAGCCGATAATGAGAGGTCTGTTGGATTCAAACTCAGGTCTGCCTGACTCCAAAGTGCACACATTTTTTTCCTCTAGATTATATTTCCCAGAATTTAACTTAGGAGACTAGGTGAGAATAGGAAGGCAATGCGACATTTCCCAGAATTCCCTCCCCTTAAAAAGCCCCAGGGATATAACCCTACTCATCTGAAAGGCAGGGGGTCTGAGAGAAGGTAAATAGATGAATGGGTTATCCTATACAATAAAAGCCTAATATGCTAAGTGTCCGACCGTTTGTTTGACCATTCAACCAGTCGCTATGCCGTGCACTGACCACCAAAAGGCAGGCACTCCAACCGATAGGTTAGCTTGCTGCTGGGGTCCAGCTGATCAGGACTGGGAGAGACGGGGCCGAACATGCCCTAGAGCCCTCCTGCAATCCCTCTCCGGCCCCGAATGTGCACCGGTGGGGTCCCTCGACCTGGCCTGTGCCCTCTCACAATCCGGGACCCCTCAGGGGATGTCAGAGAGCCAGTTTCAGCGCAATCTCCGCAGGCCAGGCCGAGGGACCCCACCTCTAGTAAATATATAAAATTCCCTTCAAGCTGAAGGATGCAGGCTTAAGCATTAGGCTTATTGTCTGTGGGTTAAGAGTTGAGGTAGGAGCCCTGGAGGTCAGCAGGGCGGGTGGGATTCTGGTTACCTGCGTGTGTGAAGGAGGAAGGCCTTTTCTGCCATAAATGCCGACTAGAGCCGCCTTTCCCAGAGACACATTGAATTTCAGATACACGGGGTGGTCTATGAACACCTGAGATCTCCAGAACGTGCCGGGAGGAATCTTCTGGGAAGCCCGTCTCCCCACGTCGATTTCTCCCGAGTCTATAAAACTGTCCTCTGGAAAGAAACTACTGGGCTTTCCTACCAAGACACAGGGAAGGGAAGACAAAACATCACGATTAGACACAGGTGAGTCAAGCAATTAGTGCATTCACATGAGCAGGGCACCCCTCTGCCTCGTACTCCTCGCTACAACAGCCTGCTGCCAGCCACCCCCTCACCACACCCCCCCCCCCCACCCCCCCCCCCCCATCACCCCCCCCCCCCAACGCCCCTACTGAAGAGTAAGAGTGTCCAGACGTTTTCCCAGTGATACTCAAATTGTTTTGCTAAAAATACCATTCCTCCAAAGCAGTGTGCGTCCTCCCCAAGGGCCATCTGTTTACTGCATAATTCCACAGCTTGTTAAGATATATTTTGATCCTAAAAATAATCATTTGCTGTCACATGAGAATAACTCTGTGTGTGTGTGTGAAAGTGTGCATGCTAAAATAGAAAGGCTGGAGGAAACAAGGTGCTGTTATTCAATTCCCACCTAAGAATGGTCTGCCCAGCAGTAGGAAGCAGGACCCGAGTGGAGTAAGGCATTTGACAAGTTCACTAGTTTATATATAATTGGAATTCAAATTCTGAGGCTGAGATATGTGGATGGGGTTTCTGTTGGGAGCAGGGGTAGGGTTGGGGAAGATGAGGAAGAGGGAGGAAAAATGCTTCTTTGTCTAGGATGGGAGGTCTTTGAATATCATTTCTGTGCTAAAGAGGGTAAAGTTGAAGGAATTTCTCAAGTTCAGGCACAAAGTCTATGACATGCTTGGAAATTTGACCCAGGCCCCCAACCTTGCAGGCTGCAGGGAAGTCGGGGGTGGTGGTGGTTAGGAGTAAGGTCTCTTGATTATTTCTGTCACCAATCAGAAGAGTCACAGCTTTCTGGAGGCACCCCAAGTGCCAGGAAGGAAGACTACTTATCAAACTTCCTCTATTTAGTAATTAAACACATTCACATGTGAAAAATATAAACCCTCACTTCCTGCCAGACCTTGGCCTTCTGAGGAGTTGGGAGGGAGCAGGAGACTCTAGGGATGTAAGGAGACCACCCTTAGGATGATGACAAGCCAAAACCAAGTCAACATCTTATTTGTCCTTAGAAAGCACCCCCAGGCATCCTAGTTCCAAGCCTGTTGTGTTGTTAGAGCTGTTGGAGGAGACACTTTAGAGAACAAGAATCCATTTGTAAAGAAAACACGTTTCTGGGGACTTTTTATGAAAAACATTTGGGGAATAGGAAATTAAAGCGTCTTTCCCCCCTAGTTTTGTAAGAGTCCTTACAAAGCACATTTTATGCTGAAATGGAGCTTGGCAGGGCACTGTTGTAGTCATAAAATATTGTGCTGTTTTAAATAATACAATTCAATTTAAATGTTAAACTTCTCCATATGTTATCATTCCCTTATAAACTCCCAGGCAGAAACATCAGGTTTTTAGCTTCAAACCATTAAATGTTATTTTAATTAAATATATGCCAACAAAAAAAGTTAAAATGCATGCTCTCAATAAAAGTACCACTAGTATTCTGTCGTTAGCATGGGGAAGAGCTCGCATTTAATTCCTTTATGGAAGCAACGTGCCCCAGACTTTTACCTTGAAAGTGGAGACACACACAAACCACCATGCAGTGGTTCAAAGTTCAAAGACAGAAGCCAAATTCGAAAAGCATTAAGATGGAAGAGAATTACTTTCCCATTCTTCCTTATCTGATGTCTGGTTTCCCAATACCACAATCCTTTTATAGTCCAGGTAGAAAATAGTATGCCCTTGAGCTTCTAATTCTGCTAGGGAAGCAGAAGTCTGAGGGAGTACGAAACAAAAACGGGATGAGTTCTGGGCTTTTTACTCCTAGAAACTGCAGAGAAAAAAACCCCACGAAATTGCTAATTCTAAGGACTCATTTCTTTTGTGAGTGGGTGTGAGTTAGAGCTGGTGAGAGCAGAGAAGGGTCTGCCTCCCACTAATTTGTATGTCTGAGAATAAATAACAAGAACATCTCCCGCATTTCGGCACGCTGTTGGGAAACCATGCACAGTTCATTTTCCCTTCAGTGAGCATGTCTGCAGGAGATGGCTATTGTAGTAGCTCCTTCTTTAGCCTCATAGGTCAGGGGCCAAGCCCAGAGACTCTCAAGAGATCTGCCGGCCCAGGGGCACGAATAAGTTGGCTCTTACTCCAAAAGAGGGAGGGGAATATTCTTTTCTAGCACTCTAGTATTTCATCAAAGATGCCAAAATAGGGGGGAACTTGTCTTTGGTGTGTATATAAGAAACCAAAATAGTAAATTCTGGTCTTGGGCACCCCCCACACTCCACCCCAAGACTTTGACTTTTTTTGTCTGAGACTGTAAGGGCCACTCTGGAGCTTTGGTTCAAAAGTGACCTTGGACCAGAAGTCACCTTGTTGAGATCCTTAGGGAAGGGGCCACAACCCAGCTGAAAGGCTGTGTTTGAGAGGGGAAAGAGGTCCCCTGGGAATGTAACCTCTATTATTCTTCTTCCCCTCTGGTCCCCAGAGGTGCCCTAGATGAAACGGGGGCTTTTCTACGGGGAGAGCTGCAGCCTGCTGGGTCCTGGGCCTGATGGGAAAGAGGCGTGAGACTGGCTGGGCTGAGGGCTGTTCAGAGTGAAACCACCCCATCCTTTCCTGCCTTGAAAAAACCCTGTCTTCCTTCCAGAAGCCATAACCCATGATTCTTTGCTCTTAATTCTGAGCACTGAGCTGTGAGCACTAGGAAAGAAAACATCCTACTACACAGCAAAACCCAGCAGTGGTGGAGAAATGAGAGAGGGAAGAGGCAACCGGAGGAGAAAAGGCCTGTGTATAAAATTCATTTTACCCCTATGACATTCTGGAAAATAATAATAATAACAATAACAATAATAATAATAATAATAATAATAAAGTAATAGTAATAGTAATGAAGGTAGAGGTAGTAGTTTTAGCTACCATGTATTGAACTCTAACTACATGGTGGGCAATTTCACGTATCTTAGGTCAGTTAATTCTCACATGATTGAAATGTATATCCTGAGGCTCAGAATGCTTAAGAAACACTGGTAGATGAACCCATTCGGAGTTTGCTTTTATTATTAGAATATGGCTTCTTAGAGCATGACACTGATGAATGGTTAATCACAACTCTTCAAAGACATTCTTGATGGGGGCAGAGTACACTGACCCTCTTTAAGGGCAAGAGTCCAATTTAATGCACAGTCCCTACAGGCTAACTAGCAAGGCCGGAGCGGGCAGATCCAAGGCCCAGTGACAAACTTCCGGGCATCCTGGGGTACCAGAAGTCGACAATTTTTATGAAGTCGGGACCTGCAAACAGCCCTAAAAGGTGACAGTCAGCATCTCGGACATTCATAAGAAGGACACTGTTCAATCAGTGGGTGCCCCCTGAGGTTTAGCAAACTGCTCAAAGTACTTAACTCAGGATTAGGGACCACCAACAGCACGATTAGGTTTCACAAGGCAGATTCTACTGACATTGGCCCTTTTCTTTGTAAATATATACAAATTCAGGCTTCCTGTAGCAATGCTGTGCAAATACACAATCATGTTTATAAAATAAATTTCTCAACAAATTTCTGACATGATTGGATAGCTCAGTAAAATGTGTAATATTTGAAAGAACTGAAATTTCATACACTGCCCAGTTACTTTCCTGAACTCAGTTCTAAATTGCTAATCAACTAATATCCCCCACCCTCCTTCTACCCTTTTTTGTTCTTTTCAATGCAATAACTTGCACAAAGGATCCTTTAGTTTCCTTAGCAACTGTTTGAAATTTATTTGGTTATCAAAATAAGCTGTTTCATTTTGGAGAGCCCAGCTGAGCCTGCATGCAGCAATTTGCATGGTTCAAACTGATGGGCAATTCTGATTTCACTGCAGAAAGAAGAAAATGCTATCCCTAGCCCACCAATTCAACCATCAGAAATGCTTGTTTATTCATGGTCCCCCCCGCTTCTCCATTAATGCATAACATAAGTTCTTGTGGCTTTACTTGCAAAAGCTGTTGTATTTGGTTTCTGTCCTATGACAACCCTGAAATGGTTATAGCCATGTTGAAAATATAGTATATACTGCAGTTTGATGTTATTCTCAAAGACATGGTGAACATTTAAAATACTGTTTCATCATATGTTTTATTTGCATTACTAAATAATACTCAAAAATGCCCTGATCCTCTGCAGGATCTTTGAGGATAAAATGTTAATCAGCCTGGATTTCTGAGATTCTAATAACTGATATGGAATGACTTTGAATTTGAATAGACAAGAAGAAAGGAACCAGGATTTGTGGAATGCCTCTTCACCACTAGCATTTGAAAAAATAGGTATCATCCTTGTTCTACAAATGAGGAAACTAAGACCAAAAGAGATGGAGTAACTGGCATGAATTAATAGAGCCGATAAATGGCAGGGCCGGGAGTCAAACACTGGACTGTCTGCTGCAAGGCCCATTTATCCTTTTCCCACCATACCCCACTGTTTCCCCCATCATTGTGGGGGAGGCTCTCTGAACCTAATTCTGGAGTCAGCTCTCTTCTTTGATACCCTCAGAAGGGACAGGAAATATGCACTCATATTAGGGTTAGAAACTTTCCCCCTTGAGATGTGTCTAAGGAATTAGATTTTTTAACATCACGATTAAAAGCATTAACCGAGTAGACATTGGTTTGACCAGGGCAAAAGAGATTAAGAACCACGTGGTCTCACGTAAACTATAGAAAGCTTTGTCCACTGTTTTTCCAGACTGGTGTGTTTTCTTGTCACAGTAATTGCTTTTGATGCTGACCACTTTCCAGCACTGCATTGCATTTCAGGGGTTGGTAAACAGGATCCATTTGCATTAGTAATGACAGATAATCCCTTTAAGCAAAAATACTCCAATTAAAGTAAACCAATAAGCTGGTGCAATTGTATTTTGTCTCTTATCTGTGCCTCCTGCTCCATGCCTAAACAACCCACAAACTAATTTCATTAGAGTGAGAGATTTCAGATACATGCAACTCCTGTTTAAAGAATGCTTGATAGAGATCATGGGGGGAAGAAAATACATTTTGCTAAATGAGACCCTTTACCAATAGGTTTAGGGTTAAACATATCTTCAGTCTGCATTTGTGCATGCTGATCTAAAGACAGTCTTCATTTCATGGTATTCATCTGCAGCATCTGACACTGTAACTGGCTTGGGCATCACGAGCCAACAAGCAGGACCATGGACAGGACCAACTCGAAAAAAATTCTGAAGAGCCATCTGGTCAGTCCTCTGATGATTCTATGACTAATTTCATATGTAGAACTTGCAAATTAGAATGGGCCTTAGAGATCATCTAGCTCCACAACCTCCCTGTAAAGAGAAGGAAAATGAAGCCAGAAGGTCTTTTCAAGGGATTTGCTTAAGGTGACATCACAGGCAGCTGGACTTGAATTCAGGGCTCCTGATTCCTAAGCCAGAGTTCTTCCCAAGACCCTATGCATGTGCCCTCCTATCTTAATACGGGGCAAAGGAAGTGTAAATTATTCAAGGTTTTAAGTCTTAAAACCTTTGGAAAGGAGAAGATGGGCTTTGGATCTGTGGAAATACCCCCAGTTTGTGTCCCTTAAAGATGAATACAGGTAAAAAGTTGATTTTGGCCTTTGAGATCATCATTTCAGAGGTCATGAGTAGATACCCCAACAAGCATATGCTACCCTATTAACCAAACTGTTGCGTGGAAGGCAAATCCTTGAAAGGCCAGAGAAGCTCAGAAGCCATGACCTAAAAGTTAAATGAAAGGAAAGGTAAGATGTAAACAGTAAGGGTAGGAGGCAGCTATGGCCACTTTGCTGAATGAGTTAACACCAGAGAGAGAGAGAGAGCAGGTCACAGCAGGGGCAGGAGAACAGATGGCCACCCTGCCCAGAATGACCTCCTGACTGGCTCATAAGCTCAGACATCTTTCCTGGTACCATTTTTCTGTGAGTTTGTGTCACTCTTGGCTGACAGTGAAAGAATTTGTATTGATGGCATGCTAGAAAGACCCCTAAGAAATTCAGAACATGGGTCTAATGCTGTCCCATTTAAGAAAGCCAAACTCCAAATGCCACCACCATTTTCATCAATGATAGAAAAATAAATCCGTGCCTCCATGTACAATGGATTTCTCATCCATGTCTCCTTCAGGGGCTTGTAACCACAGGGTTAGTCAGGAAGGACAAGTTGTGGGAGAGCAAGGGCCACAGAGACCTGGGCTCAGATTCCAAACTCCATTATTTCCTGGTGGGTGACTCTGGCCAAGTCACTCCATTCATGTGACCTTTAGTTGTTGCATCTAAAATGGCTATAAACAAATCCACTTACCTCACAGAATCCCCGTGAGGATTAAATGAAATGCTCTTGGCAAAAATCTTTGAAATGAGCACACTGTACAAACACTAATGATTATTGGTATTGCATATGAGGAAACCAGAGCTTAGAAAAATGAGGCGACTTCCTCAAGGTCACATGGCTGGAAGGTGCTAGAACACCTGAACTGGTGTTTCCATTAAACCACAAGGGTCCAAGGATATTTCAATAACAACACACCATTTACCCACCTCACCAGGCCTTGCTCCCAGAGTTGCCCCTTGACCACATGAGGTTGCCCCCAAGAGCTTATCTGGATCCCACATAATCAGAGGCGGCCACCCCAGCAGTGAGCAAGCCCAGAATGCTTCCCTGGAGGCATGAGATGGGATACCGCCGAGCACCAGGAGACCCGCCCAAGCCCTGCCATGAGCTCACAGTGACAAGGAGCTGTGATGAGGACACAAGTGGACTGGCAGCCGGTGTGGAGTGCAGAGGGATGGAGGAAGCGCAGAGCATGGAGCTGTGAGTCAGGCACATGACGCGCATAATGGAGGTCTCCTCAGTTCAAAGGCAGACACAGAGGACTCACGACACGGACAACACAGCAACCCTACCTTCTGTGGCTCCTTTGCCTTTCCTGTCAGGGATCTCTAACCCAGTGCCCCCTGAGGGATACAGGGAGACGTCGGTTGGCACAGGCCAACTGCTGGCTGTGTCCTCCGTGATCTCATACATCTGCCCCTCCATCGGCTGCAGGTGCCAGTTTAGGCCAAACAGGTGCATGGCTGTGGTGAGCAATGAGAAAAGTCATCTTTTTCTGCTGGAGGCGGAAATGAAACTCCCAAGCCATGGGGCGGA